TTCATTCTCCTCCAGAGAGAAATCGGGGATGGAAATAACACAATACCACGAGATACACAGACTGAGATATTCATATATTGCTAACCCCACCCACACCCCAGAAGGAGATAACACAAGATATATTACAACATGGCATTCGCAATTTTGCGCAGCACTACTCCACACAAGGCAAAGAAGGGTGTTAACATCGGTACAGCAAAAGGTGCCCGGGGACTCGGCGTTGCCTCAACTGAGAGAACGACGTGTGCTCCGAAGAGGACTGAAGTGACAGCAGCCACAGAATACCATGAAAAGGCCATCCACGATGACCGTAAAGTAGTGGTAATAATGGATTGTGAAACACCAAATCCCAAGAAATATGCCCAATTTGTTTCGAATAGCTTTAAAACTGATGACAGTGTTAAACGATTTTGTTGACGTGTTCTTCTATCGACTACGTATTGTGAAGAAAGGCGGTAATCGAAAACATAGAAGGCGTACAACCAACTGTTCATCATAAAAGCAATATGACTCCCCATTGGGGAAGGTATTATCATTTCAACTACCACAGAAACTATTGCATACACCGTTGTCACAAGAAATTTAAACATAATTTCACTAAGTGAAACAACGGCAGTATGAAATGAAGGAGGTCCATCAGTACTTCTTACCTTTGTAGGGGATGAGGTTTCTTCTCCTTTACAATGGCCTTCTACTGTTCCTCGTGTAGCTCCAACGGCTGCTCGACGTTTTTTCTCTTTATAAGCCTCCACATAAAGGGCGTTGTACCATCGCAAACCAAGAGCTTGAATAAGTGCATACACTGGTAGTACCCACATGGCATCAAAAACTGGAAACCAGAGTTTGCTTACGAGTCCCACACCACTTTTTGCTGCTTCTATTGCTCTTGTTGGTTTTTTACTACCATTCATCACAGTATTGCTGATATTAATAGCAGTACCAACACTAGTAGTAGTAGTAGTAGTAGTAGTAGTAGTAGCAGTAGTAGTAGTAGCATTACCACTACCACCCCAGACAACGCCCCCACCAAAGGTTAACATGGGGTAAATAAGAAGAGATGTAATCCACAAACTTGAGAAAAAAACGGCATTGACTATCAAACAAGACTGCAGTGTTCGACGAAGGTTGGCATTCGCACGTATATAAGTAAATAATTTCACAAAGTCTAAACTCTGAAGAACACCAAGTGCAAATCCACAAAATATTGCTAATAAACCAGCAGCAACGCGCTTCGGAAGGAAAAGGGTATCCTCTGTAGGCATGAACACCACTTTCTACTGAAAAGTGGGTCAATTTCCACGTTATTCGATAAGAAGAATCCAACCTGCTCTTTACTTTGGCAGTTTCTTCCCCCTTTTTTTTTCTTTTCCTTTCCTCTCAAACCTGTAGGAGGGCACTTACTCTGTCCTTGTTAAGTGCAACGTATCTATATAACAAGGAAAGAAAAAAGAGAGAGAGAGAGAGAGAGAGAAAGTAAAGGACTCCAAAACAATAATAATAAATTTACGTACCAAACCCATTAGTGAAGGGATAAACGAGAAAATCAATGAAACATACAAGATACAGAGACAAATGACTTTAATGACCTTCTCAACAAGAAAAAAGAAGAAGCACTCCCAACAAATATATATATATATATATATATATATATATTAAAGAGAGAGTGTTTGTATCTGTATACGTGTGTGTATGTGTGTATGTGTGAGTGTGAGTAGAATACGCAAAGTGAACTCAGTAAGAGGTAATTGGCACAACATACAATGGAAAACAAACAAGACGAAAAAAAAAAGAGAAAAGAAAAGGGAGTCCAAATATATTCGCAATAAGTATCAAAACACGAAGGGTAAAACAAGAAAAAAAAAAAGGAGACACAAGCAAAGAGACATGTCTTTCCCATTCATACCTCCACCCCTTCCCAGCAAAAGGAAATATACACAAACACACAGACAGACACACACAGAGACAGATTATATATATATATATAATGTAAAAAAAAGTGTAAAAAAAAAAAAACGTGGGTAAAGGGATTCGTTTTCAGAGAGATTACTCAAGAATTTGCTGGGCAATAAAAGCCTTTACGTACCGCACTGAAGTCAATGGGTTGATGAAGTGCGGTCCGGAAGAGAGTTCCACCTGGAGAGTTCCTGAAAGAGATGTACGACCGGACCCGGACTCCGTGAAGGGTATTGATACTTGAAAAGTCCCACTAGAGGCCTGAGCATCCCCACTTGTTTTTGGTAGCAGTGGAGATAAACCACTAGAGGGAAGTGAGGTAGTAAGAGTGGCATTACCGGAGAGAGGACGAGATAATACTGTTGTGGTTCCAGTCGAAACCTCAAAATCAAATCTCCGTCGAAGAACGGATGCGCGTCGTTCAGGCAACTGCAGACAAATCAAAAAAGGTTCCCCTTCAAATGGTGGTAACAAGTGTTCATTCCCCTCCAATACCTCCGATAGAACATATTCTTGCACCATTGCCCTTTCATCCTTTACTACATCATCGTTAGAATGGTCACCCATATCACTTTCACTATCCGATTGTTCAGCGCTACTATCGCCATTCTCACGTTTTTCCACAATGGCATCAAAAAAGTATACCGGCAAGAATGATTTTTGATTATCAAATGATGCCCCATAGAGTTCATCCATCTTTGCTGTACTTTTCCCAGTCATATTAGGTGAGCCGGAATTCTGTGAGTTATAGAGTTCCTCTCGAGTTCGATCAAAGACATTCTGATTGAAAGTAGGAATACTACCAGAAGCAGCAGCAGCAGCAGCAGCAGGAGGAGGAGGAGGAGGAACAACAACAGAGGATGAATTAGAATTAGATTCTATTGTAGATGAAAGCGAATTCTTTTCAACATTCTTTCTAGGTTTTTCCATCTCCTCTGCCCACCAAACACTGGCTTCATGCAAGACTGCAGCACATGTGGAATGAATTTCCGATGAAATTTTTCCCATTCCACAAAGAAGGAATAAATAACCACCTTCTGCGACAGCTGACTTAATCGCATTGCAACAACTTATTGGTGTTAAGCATTCACTAACCACAGGAAGCTGAAATGGAAGACTTGGTAATCCTAAATATTTATCTGCATTATTCTTCAGTTCCCCAGCAATACGCCATGGGTATTTTTTGATAATACCACCACGAAGAACTAATCGTTCTCCATGAGAATAAAGAACATTTAAATTGGTGTTAGATGTTGAATTTGACGTCAATCCCTCATTAACAGATTCCTCTGTTTCAGATTTTTTCTCAATTTTAACAATAACAAGACGTGGGAATACATGAACATCAAAAAGTTCCAAACATTTTTCAATCAAAGAATGCTCTTTGGTTCCAAAAGATGATGAAATACACAACCACGAACTTGGCATATCATTGAGAGAATTATAAAGTTGATCCCTGTTAATATCACAACTAACGTACAAAACTTGGAAACGATGAAGTGGCACCTCTTCTTTTTCTTTTCCCTCTTCTTCTTCTTCTTGTTCTACTTCATCTCCTTTTTCTTCTTCCAGTTGTTCTTTTGGCTCATCAACAGTCAAACCCCTCAACGGGGTAGACTCATTTTCTAACACTCCTAATGAAATAACTTCTTCATTATCCTTCCTTTGTGGTGTACCAAGGAATATAATTTTCTGTGATGACTCCTTTGAAGAGAAACCCAGTGGTTCGCTTTCCAATAAACTGGTACTACCACGACAATTACTTATAGTTCCCATTCGGTACGAAAACAACTCCGTTGATCCCGTTAACGTACCCCCACTGAAGCCAGGCATGTGAAGTGCTTTGCTTTCCACTCCCCAGTTACTTAATCTCCCACCACCACCATCATCATCATCATCATCATCATCATCATCATCATCATTGAAACTATTACGATTATCATTGGAATCATTGACAGCAGACCAAAGACGACGTAGTTGAGGGACAAAACTTCTAGAGGAAGGATGCCAACCACCTCCAAAGTACACTAAAAGATGTGTCGCCCCATCCAATTGTTTATCTAAATGTGGAGGTTGGTTTGATTCATCTACAGTACCAGTTTGAACAAAGTTAACGCCGTCAAGGACATCCGCCACACTATGTGCATTTAAAACGATATCCTTAAGATGTGAAGAAAAAGAAAAATCGTTTGTAGTTTCATCCATATTGCTTCTAATATTACTCTTACCCTTATTTGTAACCCATGGGAAGCCTGATTGAAACTTTAAAGGGTGATGATGTTGTTGTTGTTGTTGACGTTCTAAATCTACACCTTCTAATGGAAGTGGATGCCAATCCTCATCTGTCTTTAAATTCATCTCACGTTCAATGTGTTCAAGTGCACGTGTAGTTAAAAGATTACCAGAAGGATCAAAAAGCAGTACGGAGGGCCAAGATGTGAGATCAAAGGTTTGAACAACTTGTCTGTAGGCTGCTGTACTTTCTAATGAAAACCATCCAGCAAAGAAAGGGTTACTAGTTATTGTCGCACCAAGAGAAACTGGACCTACTTGTGGTGAACAAGAATCCATGACTGAAGTAATCGATAAAGTTCCTGCAGTATTTCCAGACATAGCATCAACTACTACACCGTTATCCGTGGATGTTGTTAGAAAATGTTCCTTTGAATGTCCTACAGATCGTACAGAGTCATCTGTGGAAGTGGTTTGGCATACTTCCAACACCGCAATGGGAAAATGGAGAGATCCATTTCCAGTTGTAGAACTATTTGATAATTGCTGCATTAAAAGTTTACAATAAGAAGAAAGCATAGTTTTCACACGACGTGTTGTTTCATTCTTGTTAGAAGAAGTATCAACTATCTGTGATGTGTTGTGGCCTGATACGACTCCTCCCCCACTAATTGGGTGTAATAATTTTGAGGTAATAGGGGCAATAACACTGTTTAACGAGGATGGAGTAAATCCACAGTTCCCTAATCCAGCAGGAGGTGAATTTAATACATTAGACGTTTTTGTAGGCTTACAACTACGGCAACCACTGTTATTTGGTTCAGGGAGATATAATAATACATACTTCCCTTGCAAATAGGTGACGGGAACCTGCACAATGTTGTTATCCGCCTCTTCTTCATTTTCCTCTTCTGTACTGCCGCAGGGGCATCCACTGTATGTTGTACTGTGATATTCCTCTTTACAACTACCCACATTTTCTTCTAAATGGAGTGTTTCTGAACGGCGATCATGGTTAGCCTTAATTCCATGCTTTGAAAGAAGAATAGACCCAAAGAGACTATACATCACCAATTTTTTCTTTTCCTTTGTGAGAGGTGGGTTTTTTTTTTTTTTTTTCTTTCCTTTGGGTTTGCTTGTTCTTACTATTGTTCTTTTTTTTTTCTAATTTTCTTCCTTTTGTTTGCCGTGCCTAAGGAAGAGGTGAAGGAAAAAAAATTGATTAACCACAGAAAATACAGAAGAACCCGCTAAAGGTTAAAGAAAAACAAAAATAAGAAGAGAAAAAGAGAGAGAATAATAATAATAATAATAATATTAATATTAATAGGATATTCCTTCTTTTTGTATATATAAATGGAAGAAAAAAAGAAAATAATAATAATAATAATAATAATAATAATAATAATAATAATAATAATAATAATAATAATAAAAGACAAGGTCTATCACTCAAATATAGGGATAAATAAAAAGAGTAAGACTAAGAGTAGTAAAGGGAAAGAAAAGCAAATAAGATTTACTACTTCCTCACCCTTAAACTCCGTCTAACCCTCTGGGTTCCACACTGTACATTGGATAATACAAAAGATAAAAGCAATGATGTACATCAAAAATATGAAGGGTTTTTTTTTTTTTTTTAATATTCAGTAGCTTTGCACAGTCTTATGATTTCTTTGTTCTTTTTTTTTTTTTGTTCTTTTGTTATTTTTATTTTTTGGAGAAGGGTTACTCTCCCATTTGTATTCGTAAATCCATTCCTCTCCTACTTTTTTTTCTTTCTTAAAAGCAGTTGAAATATGTGGTGGTTGTTGATTGTGTCTGTGTGTGTGTTTTTCTTGTACGTTGAGTTGCCTTGTCCATTCTCTCTGTTTAGTACGTACACAACCCCATCCTTACTGCCGTGGGAAACGAGAGACCAAGTATGCAAACTTCTCAAATGTGAGTAGGCCATCTGTTGCGAGAGCCTCCACCTCTTCCACAAACTCCGCCTTTGCCCGCTGGCTCACACCAAAGTCACGTTCAAGCTCATTAATAGCGGTTAAGAATGGCACAACGCCAACAGTACCACTTCCAGTTACATCCATACATTCAAACCACTCCCATACATCACTCTCCTCAATAGGCATTCCTGTGAGGTTCAGCACTGTCGGTCTTGTGTATGTATCTTCCACAGAGAGTTTATCATCACGTGCAAGACGTAGTGCTTGGTATCCTCGACTTCTGTACAAGACAGGGGGTACTTGTTGTTGTTGTTGTTGTTGTTCCTGTGAGCAAGTTGTAGATACATTCTCATCTGTAGGAGATTCAGTACGCATAACCTCCTGTTTCTTTGTGGTAGGTCCTTTCCCAGACTGATTATCTGAGGCCTCTTCATATGTAGTTGCATGGGGTCGGCTCTTCACATCCTCAATGGATGTGTCAATATCCCCTGACTGTGTAGAAGGAAAGGCTACCAATGGTTCTCCTGATAGCTGCGATTTAACCAACTCGGTTAATTTTTCTCTCTCTCCCTCATCTCTTATTGTTGTTGCAGTGGTGGTGGAGGTTGTGTCTGTGTGGTCTGTGATCGCCTTAGACCCGTGTGTGGGTGATGTGGCCAACGCAACGTAACTGCGATCCCGCATTCGCACCTCCAGTGCTGGTCCTTTGAGTACGTAATTTCCCACTCCGCCCTGTTGTTCGTCATCCCTTGAGAGATACGCGTTCATCTCCTGTGCAAAGGCCTCCTGTTCCAACACTGTCATCATTTGGAAAGCCGTTAAGAGGCGTAAAATACGCTCTTTAGATTCATTTTCAAGCAAGTTGAGTAAACGTCCGGCGGGAGCGGTGGCACCAGCGCTTCTATTACTTGCCCGTCTTTCAACGGCTGCTACTGCTGCTGGTCCTGACATTTGTTGTCCCCTTTTTTCTTTTTTCTTTTCTTTCCTTTTAAGAATCACTTCACGTCTGCTAGGAAAAAAAATAATAAAAGAAAAAAATAAAATAAACACATTAATGCATTTTAATATTTAAAGGAGTTGAGAATAGTTTTTTGATCCCCTTGGGAAGAAAATGGGGTGAAGCAAGGGAAAATCCTCTACTTCTTTCCCGATTGTATTCCCGCGTGCTCAAAAGAACATCGTTTTTTGCTTTTCTTTTTTTTTTTACCTTTTCCTTTTTAAATACCTCCATTTTCCTTTTCAATCAAAATGCATTCGTTTCACTTTTTTTTTTTCCTTTCCTTTTCCTCTTCTTCTTTTGCTTCCCTCTCATCAGCTGTGTTCGTCTTTTTTTCCCCCATCGTCTTTTTTTTTTCCTTTTCCTCATCACTTGGACCTCTTCTCTTTCTTTTTCTTTTATTTACAGCTTCCTGTTTCAAAACACAAAAGTGGAGAAATTCCGCGCAAAAAAAAAAAACAACATGCAGAATAAAAGTAGTGCAGTCAGTTCCCACTGCGAACAGAGGAATGAACAGTCAAGACAAAGTTCTCAGATATCAATTACGCCTTCTTCAGTTCACTACCATTCAATTGGTTTTCTTCTACTTTGTGTTCTTATTATTCAATGTTGTTGTTCTATTATTATTTACTTTTCTTTTTTCATTCTTGTTGCCCTTTCTTCACATTCTGGCTTTTTTTTTTTTTTTCCACCTTTCATTTTGGATGGTTTTGCTGTGCCATTCTCACTCCTGTTGAATGAGAAAGCGACGGAAAGAGAGAGTGGAAGGGAAGAGGAAAACACAGATAGAGAGAAAAGGAAAGATAAATTTAAAAAAAGGAAGAGAAATGAAAGAGAGAGTGAATAATAGTGAGAGTAATAGTCCTGTGGTAATATGGAAAGAAAAAAAGAAGGAAAAAAGGAAGTATCTAACTCCATCATACATATATCCCCCCTCCCTCTCTCTCTCACTCTCCCTATTACTTCTACACACCATTACTGCCTACCCACTCATCCCTCACATTCCTCCTTTTAAACCTCCCTACACACAGAGACTTAATTCACGCAAAAGATACACCGTCACGCATACATAAATATATTGTTTTTCCATTCTTCACATTCATTCATTCATACATTCTTAATCACGCCACGGGAAGTCGCGGCCCTCAGGGTCGTTCAGTAGCCGTTCCCGGCCACGAGTGCTGACGACGGCGCCGGTGTCGGCGTTGACGGCCACCAGCCGCGGAATGGAGTCGACATCGAAGGCGCGGCCGAGGGCCTCCACTTCGCTGCGGTTGGCGAAGGGCAGTGCGAGCCACGGCATCTTTCCGTAGTACGTCTCGAACTCCGACGCCTCCTCGTCCCACGAGACGAGCACCACCTCGAAGTTCTTCGACGAGTGGAACTTCTCGTAGAACTCCACGAGTGTTGGGGTGAAGCCGCGGCAGGGCGGGCACCAGGAGGCGGAGAAGTAGAAGAACACCGTCTTTCCGGCAAGGCTGCTGAGAGGCACTTCACCTGACTTGGACAGCAACTTGACGCCACTGGGAATAAACTTGGTTAGACCAGACATTTTTTTTGTTTGTTTGTTTGTTTGTTTGTTTGTTTGTAAAGAAAGCCGCAAATATAACTTTGACTCTTTACAGGTGTATACATATATATATATATATATATATATATATATATATATATATA